GGTCACTTTTAATGTTTTAAACGGAGGTCGTATCATATACGACTAAATATTGTCTTATAACTAGTATCAGAGGCCATTATTTATACACTGATTAAAAATATTTCGACAGTTAAAAAATTGAACAACAGAAAAATATTTTCTCAATAATTAAGAATTTGAAATATTTAACTATAAAAATAATATTTGAAAAAAATGAATATTATCTTCTAATGAGATATATTTTAATAGAAATTAATGTTAAAAAAGTTTAATTTTTTTTTGATTATGTGATTTTTTGATCATTTAACACCTTAATCGTCTAATATATTCAACATATTTTGTATTATGGAGTAAAGTGTTGATCAAAATTTTGAAAATTAATCTTGTTTAGATGAGAAATTAAAAACGCTAAAAGATGTTTTTAAGTGAGATGCAAGTGATTTAATATTTGTGGAACGAATCGATGTCTAATACGGTTTCAAACTTCAATAAACATTTGTTAATAAGCTTTTTCTCTCTCTATTTTTTAATACGTAGTTAATATTAACCATCAACGTTGTTGAAAGTTTCAAATATGTGATCCTTTATTTATTTAATTTCTCACCTCGTCTCATTCTCTTCCATTCGCTCTCTCTCTCTCTGTCTCTCTTTATACTAGGCTAAAACAATACAAAACAAAAAAAATGTGTAATTTTCATTGTCATTAAACCATAAAAAATCTCTCTTCAAATCATCATCAGCTACAGTCAATTGTTGTGTACGTAGTTGACTCTTGTTGTGCATCGTATTTAGTTACAATAAATCTTTTTTTCTCTTCTTCAATACAAATGTATACACCTGTCTGCCATTTTAAAAATAGAATGGAAAATATTTTTGGTCTACTTACCATTTTTTACTTCATGATAGACAACAGCAGCAGTCTCCTATACATATATATATATATACACACACAAGAGTAAGGATGAAACAAAAAAAAAGAAAAGTACTTTAATTAAAGAGGCGCTTTTATGCTTCCATTGTAGTTACTAACAAATTATTGGCTTAAAAATGTTATTTTTTAAAACTTTATAAAAAGTAACTGGAAGTACAATGTTATATTGCAAAGGAGGCTTTCGTTTTATCCTTGTTTTCTCTAGTATCTAATCTACACAATCCAGTAGAAAAGTATATTAAACAAGAAAGACAATAGAATATTGACACTATATACAATTTCCTCACCCGTTATTAGAAGAATAACACGTACACACGATTCATTAGAGATCTAAACGGACTATCTTTCAATGTACAAGATGATATTAAAACATTTTTTATTACACTATTCATCTTTTTTTAATGAATACATTCATCTTATAAGCAAAAAATTTTCAACTCAAAAAATAACAGTAGAATATTTTCTTCTCTATTTTTTATTTTGTCAGTTGGAAAACTCGCAGAATAAAATGGATATGTAAAATAACGTCATTTAGTTGAAAATAATGATTTTCTGACGTCAACACTGACGTCAATTTTAAAAAGCATTTTTCGTTGTTAGAATAATGATGATGATATGAGTAAATATTGGCCCTGTATGCCTGCCTGTTCCTATAGCGAATGTTTCATTATTTCTTCTTCTTTTGTGTATTAAAGAGTGAGAAGAAGAAGAACAAAAAATATTTTAAAAAAACCCAAAATTTCCAAAGTCAAACATATCCATATATATTATAAGCAATTATAAGTGGCAAAACGCGCGTCGCACGCACCAAAAGAAGAAGAAGAAAAAAAAAAAAGTAGAGAAGAAAAAAATTTGTTTGATCCACTCTCACTCACAACTTAAATATTTTAACCAATTGCATTTTTTTATCAGTAAGCAAGAAGAAGAAGAAGAAGAAGAAGAAATGAAAATTTATTTCTACATATGCAAACTGACATTTGAGAAGTAAAAGAAAATCGTGTATATTTGAAGATGACGAATATCGTATTATAATAATAATAATAATAATAATAATAATAATAACAACACTTAGTGAGTGAGTAGTAGTAGTACATGAATGAAAAACTATTATCATTTTTTAATAATATACAAGATAGCAGAAGCAGCAGCAAACGTAAGAGAAAAGAAAATATAAAGAAGAACACGAACAGGTAACAGTAAAAAACATCGATTGTGTTATTGTTTTCAACTCGTATTTAAAGATAACACATTTCAGCCGATTGCTCTTTTTTTTTTTTAATACCTATTTATCTTGATTTATGCGTATACTAGACAGTCTAATCTAACACAAGAAATAAAATAAAAAATATAATGCATATGTGGATGATTGAAAAAGGAATTATAATATACAGATGGTTTTAATTTATAACTTGTCGAATACTAGTGTCATTGCTACTGGTTTAAAGTTTTTTATCTTGTTTAATTTGTAATTCAGAAATTTATTTATCTACAGGGGGGGGAGAGGAAGGAAGAACAATATACTGAAAAAATTAGAATTATATCTAGATCTTCGTATTTCAACAGCTATTCTTTAATACTGACACACCAGTTGGATGACATTTTTCTTTTATACTTGTATTAAATTTAGATTTGCAGATCATTCTAAATCCTAAATTGTTACCTCATTTTTCTTTTATCACACCGAATGAGGACATTTTGCTATTAAACAAATTGAGTAACAAAAAAAGTTGTTTGTTTAGTTTTCTATATATCTATCTATCAAACGATGAGACTTCTCACTTATTTTAATGTTCTTCTAGTTTAATATATTCTAGATAAGATTGTGTATGTATATGATGTACGTGCATCAGTTAAAGATCCTAGAAAAAAAAAAATGACATAGCTCTGTTTATCCCATATTTTTAGTATAACCACTGGCAACGGGTGAGTTTCCACGAAATTTCATCATAGACTAGTGTTAAGCTTTAGGTAATAGTTTTAGTCCTGTTTGCATAAACCAACTTTTTTATATCTATCCACGTTTTAATAAGCTGGTAAACTATGACGAGAAGAGTTTCAGTGAAGTCGATCGTAAGAATGAATTTGTTTGTTGATTTTTTCTATTTTAAGTACATTTCTAAATGACTCATACAAGTTGTGATGAGAGTGATGAATATATATTGTTAAAACTTATACTAGATTAGTCTGACTTTTTCTAACGTTCGAGGAAAGAATAAAACATTTTCTTTATTTAGTTTATATTTGGTGTTGATCAGTTGTAGAAAATATAAAAATATTTCTGATTGAACCTGACTTACCTAATGTGAGTTATACTATCGTTTTACAGCTGCAGATGGAAAACAATGTGTTATAATCTTCTTTCGAAAATGGTATCTTTTTTTCTAACCATACATACTCTTGTTACTTACGTTGATTTTTATAAACTAACTATATAAATATTCTTGTTCTCGAAACATATTCACGCACTCACAGGCGATAATTTTTATCAAACTTTGTTTCAGTCCATAATTAAGATTAGAACCGAACAAGTGAGTAAGTAAGTGAGGGAGGGAGAGAGGAAAAAAAGGAGAGACAAAGAAACGAGTATTGAGTATATGTAAGCCTTATCAAATACCTAGTGGACCTTATCATTGTAATTATCATAATAAATTTTGCCAATATATATATATATATATATATATATATGGTGCCCATGTACTACATGAGTGAGAAGAAAAAGCAAGAAATTTATTATACATCTCTGAAGTTATATTTATAACAAAATGTGTTGCTCATCATTTACTTAAACAGTGAAAAACACCATCGTTTAAGAGTGAAGGAAATTGTCAAGATTTTAGAAGAAGTTAGCGTTTTGGACCTTCGTAGGATTTACTTTATGTTAGTTCCAATAAAAATGACAATGAAGACTAGACAGAATGATGGTACGTGTATATATTCTTTATAATGTAAACATAAGTTGAATACAACGTGTTAATATTATTTCTAAACAAACTCTGCTGAAAGTAGAAAGGCAGTGGAAAGGAAACATGCAATACAATATGAAGTTAGTCCTACTATGACTTTTACAGAAAAGACAGAATTTTGCTATAGACTAAATAGTAGATGAATTTTTTCATTAATCTTTAATTATTTTAATTAAGTGGTAAAATTAACCATAAACCTATTTTATAGCATCTGATGAGCAGCAAAACATTACACTTGAACGACGAATCGTTTACTCTAGAATAAACAGATACCTTAGAACACGATGCTTCAATCCATCTTATTTTAAGATTCATTCATCTTACTGTAGTCACAGTTAGAATCTTGAAGCAAATTCATAGTTCTAATAAATAGGAGCATGATAGTACCCAATAGAGTAATGAGCTGGTCATTAGGAACAGAATTGACGAAAATCGTAGTAGTTTTATTTTATGAATCGGTAGTATTCGTGCACAAGGATGACCACAAACACCAGAGATGATCTTGACTTGATCGTCTGTAATAGAAATAAGATGAATGCACTTTGTGCAGAAAAGAAGCATCTTAAAATCCGATGGATAGATTCGTGTGTTGAAGTATGCTAGGAGAAAAAGAGTAAGATCATTCTTTTTTAAAAAGGTTCGAGCGTTAAAAAATGTTGTTTTCATACATGTCTTTTTAATAAACTGCATAACGTAGGAGCATGTTTCAATTGGAAAAAGTTTCTCTATGATGAATTCAAACATTCTTACAGGTTTTCTCTACGGATGCTTAGTATTATCAGTTCAAAAATGTGATTATATTGACTAACGTTCATTCAAGTTACATACAATATTTATGTCGCCAATTTTTTCTTTCGTCTACCGATTATGATTTTTTGTGTCGTCTATCATTCATTTCTGTTTTTTTGTGTAACCAATAACATTTTTTACCGATATTTAAATATTGTGCACACATGCAAAGAAAAGAAGACAATAAAAAGTAGGAAAATTGATTAATCGAAAGACTAGACATGTGTTGATTAACAGTTATCATAATCTAAATGTTAGATAAAACTAACTAAATGTGCGATATAAATTTGTTAGTACCATTTTATCTCTTTTGTTTGTAGTGAATCAAATTGATATCCATGTCATCTTCAACAGCAAAGACAGAAAATATCTCATCATCCGTTTGGTATTCAACTAATTTACAACATCAGCAAAGAACACAAAGTCAAGCATCATCGGAAAATGTCAATATTTTAGTAAACAGCGATCATAGAGAAGAAGATGAGTCAAATCAGTCATCATCATCCGTTCCACCCCAACAACAAACTGCTTCATTATCTCCACAAACAAGTGATATTGAAATCAATAATAATACAACGACTCATTTGCATAACGGTGTTAATCAGCAATCATCGTCGAGTGAACAACAAGTTTACGTAAATGGAAATGGTAGTGATTCAGATATTCCACCACCA